GCATCTCTCCTTGATTTCACCTCTGCAGCATCTCCTGTAGATTTCACCTCTGCAGCATCTCTGTAGATTTCACCTCTGCAGCATCTCTGTAGATTTCACCTCTGCAGCATCTCTGTAGCTTTCACCTCTGCAGCATCTCTGTAGATTTCACCTCTGCAGCATCTCTCCTTTATTTCACCCCTGCAACATCTCCTATAGATTTCACCTCTGCAGCATCTCTCCTTGATTTCTTCTCTGAAACATCTTTTGATTGTCCCCCTCCTCTCCTCTGACACTGCCACCATTCTGATCCATTCCCTCATCATCTCACATCTGGGCTATGCAATTGCTGAGGACGGATTGGCCTGCCTCAAGTCTCTCCCCACTCCAGTCCATCTTCTATTCAGCCACTAATATGATTTACTAAAATATAGGTCTGATAATATCACCCCCCTTCTCAATAAACTCCAGGGCCTCCTTGTTACCTCCAGGAGAAAATACAAAAAGTTCTGTTTGGCATTCAAAGCTCTTGATAACCTGACCCTTTCTTACCTTTCCAGTCTGCTTACACTTCACTCCCTGACACTCTTCAATCCAGTGACACTGACCTCTTGGCTGTTCCACAAAGAAGACTCTCCCTGTCTGTGCTCTGGGAATTCTCTCTGGCCCTCCCTCATGCCTGGAATGTTCTTCCTCCTCATCTCTGCCTTCTGCTTCCCTGGCTTCCCTTCCGGTCTCACCCCTCTTAATGCAGGTTCCTTCCTTCTGTTGATTATCTCCAATTTATCCTGTATACATCTTTATTTCACAGAGTTGTTTGTATGCTGCCTGCCCATTAGATTATGAGCTCCGTGAGGGCAGGGCCTGTTTTCAGCCTCTCTTTATGTCCACAGGGCTCAGCCCAGAGCCTGGCATGTTGCGTGTGTTAAGTAAGTAAATGCTTGATGATTTGACTGATTTCTCTTGGCCTTATTGCTGATGAATGCCAAGAGGGTCCTGGGTCCTGGGCCAGAGAGGCTCTGGTGCCTCAGGCCAGGCTTGTGACGTTGACATGATTTCTCTGAAATTCCAGGGTGATAAGAAGGACCAAGAGAAGTTATTGAAGAAAAGCTGTACCCTGTACGTTGGGAACCTGTCTTTTTACACCACCGAAGAGCAGATCTATGAGCTCTTTGGCAAAAGTGGTGACATCAAGAAAATCATCATGGGCCTCGATAAAGTGAAGAAAACAGCATGTGGGTTCTGCTTTGTGGAGTATCCTTGAGTGGGCCCCTGAGGCCTTGGATGCTGGATGAAGGCAGAGAGCCATTGGCCTGTGTGTGTGTGTGTGTGTGTGTGTGTGTGTGTGTGTGTGTGTGTGT